CCAGTCAAAGACCCAGTTCCAGCTCTCCCCACCGCTCCACACAAAATCCTTCAGAGCAAACATGTGTGGCTGTTCTTCTGAATATTCCGGTCAAGTTCCGTTTTGAACCCTGCATAGCAGAGGTCACCCTGCTTTAGTTATTCAAACCGTTGTTTAGGGAGCAAAACAAAAACCTACAAACTTCAGGCATTCCCGTTTGAACGCTAAGCATCCTAAGTCTAAAGCAATGACAACTCTCTTGCTCAACACCATTATCTTTAACAGCTGAAGGGAATTTTCACAAATTACTTGCCAACACACAAAAACTACATAATACATGGAAAAGCAAAAAACGCAGGGCCCTGTGCCTTTTAGCCTATTAAGTGTTCCCCAAACTTGATTGTCCCCAGGACTCACCTGGGATCTTGTTAAAATGCTGACTCTGTTTCATCGGGTCAGGGTGGGGCACAGATCCCACATTTCAAACAAGCTCCTGGCTGCTGCTCTGGGAGCCACCCTTTGAGTAGTGAGGCTGCAGGGGGGCGTGCATGAGGTTTGGAAAGGGAGAGGCTTGAGTTAGATCCTGAGTCCACCGCTTACAGGCTGAGAGACCCTGGGAAAAGAACTTAACTGCTCTGAGCCAGCTTCCACCATCAGTTAAAATGGAAATAATCGTGACAACTCCTTTTCGAGACTGTAATGAGCAAGTGAGCAAGCAGCACAGTTCCTGGCAGATAACAGACCCTGAATTCCATCCTATGCCACCTGTGGTGAGCTGAATAATGGCCCCCCCAAAGATGTCCACATCTCAATCCCCAGAACCTGTGAATGTGTCACCTTACAGGGCAAAAGGGGAATCTGCAGATGTGATAAACTGAAGGATATTGAGATGGAGAGATGATCCTGGGTTATCTGAACAGGCCAATGTAATCAAAATGCTGTTTATGAGAGGGTCAGAGTAATAGAGATAATATGACAGGATGAACTCAAAGCTCAGAGAGGAGAGAAGATGCTATGTTGCTGGCTTTCAAGATGGAGGAAGGGGCCACCACCCAAAAAATGTGGGGGGCCCCCAGAAGCTGGAAGCTCTACAAGCAACGCAGCCCTGCAGACCCATTTGAAACTTCCGACCTCCAGAACCATAAGAGACCACTAAGTTTGCAGTACTTTGTTATAGCAGCGATAGGCAACTCGTACCCTATCTATTGGGCTAATGTGAACGCAGGCTTGCCTCACTTTACACAATAGAGGATTTCCTGAGGCTGAATTATCAACTGAAACTAAATCATGTATCAGTTGCCCAAGTGGAGGTCACACACAAAGAACTCTTCAAGGAGACTGCATATCAAGGGGAGAATGAGTCCGGCATTGCGTGTTTCAGTTGGTTAGGATGCTTGTTAATAATAAACCATTCTAAAGGCCGAAAGGAATCTCTTACACTCTAATTGTATCATCACGTTCTAATCTGTCAGCTTCTCACATAATTGCTGAAATCTAACAGGGCTCCTGGGGACAAGATCAGTGGGCTGATGCCTCAGCATCAGGAGGACTGAAGAAAGCAACCCTAGGCTCAGCGAAGGACTGGAAATCAATGGTCTCCGAAATAAGTCGGACAGAGAAAGACAAGGACCACGTGATTTCACTTACGTGTGGAAGATAAACAGATACACAAGGAGAACAGATTGGTGGTTACCAGAGGACAAGGAGGTTGGGGGGAGGTGGAAGGGGTAAAGAGGCACACGTGTATGGTGACGGATGCAAACTAGACTATTGGTGGTGAACACGCAGTCTATACAGAAACTGACATATAGTAACGTACACCTGAAATTTACACAATGTTATGAGCCTATATGACCTCAATAAAATAAAATTAAAAAGAAAATCAATGGTCTCAATGTTTGTACAAATCTTCAACTGCTATTGATAACGTTGCTTATCCCATAGAGACGCTTTATAAAATAAGAAAATACCAAGGCAAGCAAAAAGATGCAGAATGAAAACGTGTGTCTCAAAACTAAATGGACTTTGTCCTATAATTCTTGGGCCTTCTCCTGCAGGTCTTGGCACCAACGGCTTCCCTTCCCAGACTCTAAGCTCCATGGAAGGCCCCGGTCTCTCATTTCCAGCTATTACATACACAGCAGCTAGCACTTACTTTGCACACAATAAATATTTGTGGATGAACAAATATTATGATGGATATTTATAATGGAAAAGTGTATTATGACTTTCACTAGAAGAAGCATTACTCTTAAAAGTTCTTTTTCTCCAGTTTGAAACTAAAACTACTTGGCCCGAGATATTATTTACGGTAGAATTAAAAGTATGCTTTCTGATTTTATTTGCCTATTAATATATGCATTAGATAATTAACCATGCACTAAGCAGTCAAAGCAAATAATTACTTTTCTAGCGTCTGCCTTCGCATATGAGCTAAATAAGGGCTAAATAGACACTAGTTGCATATTAAAAAAAGGTAACTAGCTTTAAAATGTTCTGTTTAATCCCAGACCACAATATTCAAAACAGTTTCAGTCCCTTCGCTGGCTCAGTTACAACCTCATACAACAGTCCCTCTTTAGAACAGGCAGGAATTCTGCTCGGGTTGCACTGAATATAAAATCTCTATTCGAAAGTTTGCCAGTTCACATTTACGAGGTCTTCTGAACAACTGGTAGGGTTGGCCATAAAAACTGTATCTTTTAATTTACTTATGTTCAGTATACTTTAAGAGGCAATAAAATCACATGGAAAGCTTTTATTTTAAATCTTATTTTGAAATATGACTGAATACATTAACATAACTCAGAACAAGTCGGTAAACTTCTACAAGAACATGTTATATAATTCTGGTGAGTCTCGTAATTATTCTGTTTTCAGAGAAAAGAAACCACTGGACAGAAAAACGTTAAACTCGGAATCTGATTTTCAAGTGTCCGAGAAAAGCAGAAGTTTGCTCACGGTGTGGACGAGGGTGAGAGCCTGAGCTGATGCTACAAGTGCATTTTGGGCCAAATGATTGCAAAGACACGGAGAACTGCAAATCAGACCATCTGGAAGGAGCACGAGTCTGTTTGTCAACTAAGAACCTTCCCTCGGTTTACTTGAAACCAAGACTCCAAGTCCTGCTGAGATTCCCAGCTCCTTGGGAAACCAGGACACTGCCTGGCCACTTCAGCACTGGACGGTCTCAGCACCCAGGAAGCCTCGGCCGAGAGTCACCAAAGCGCGGCCAAGTTCACAGGCGCTACAATTTTACCTCTCTACAACACGAAACTCAGGACCATCCTCGAGAATGTGTTTCTGCAGCGACCTGCTCAGACACTCACCAGCAGCACAGAGGTAGAGGGCCATCTGTCCCTGTGCTGTGTAACCCCAGACTGCCGAAGTTTTCAATTGTTGCTGCTTCAATGGGCTCTTGGCTCAGAAACCGAGGCTCTAAGAAGGTAAGGGGTCTGTCCAAGTTTACCCAGTGCATCAGTGGCAGATGTGGGGCTGGCAGCCCGGACACCTGAGCCCTAGATCAGGTCTTTGTCCACTGCCTTATTTCCCCGCTTCACCATCTTGCCACCTTTGTGCAGCCCCAATAGCAGGACAGGCTGCTTCTCCAGGGACGACCTCACTGGGTTCTACTCAGCGGGAGGTCAACGACGTGGACATGTCCACAATCATGACTTTGTGTAAAACACAAGTAAACAAAATGAGGGACATCGGAGGTTCTCCCTGCCGGTTACACTGCCTGGACTTCAGGGAGAGCAATTCCAGGGCAGCCCTTTTTCCAAGTGCCACATCTTCATTCGGGGATTGTTCTGGATAGCTGGGCTGCCAGACAAGCGAGCCTGGATGGGGAGGAGACAATGCACCTGGGGCTATTGCAGAGCGCCTCGGCACCTAGAGGCGTTAGAAATCACAGCAGGACTCGACAGTCTTGGTTTACAAGGAAACGTTCACCAAAAACAAATACCCATGGCCGTCGCAGCACTTTCTGCAGTGGTCTTCTGGTCATCTATGTTCCACTTCACAGAGACTGAGACACAGATAAGAGTGGCCATGGGCGCCCGCTCTGCCTCCCCAACGGGCAGGGGCAGTTTCCACTTGCTTATGCTTGCTCGCTGGACTTTATCCTTCCTGAGAAAGAAGGATATCAGAGTAGGAAAAAAAAAAGAATGGGGAGGAAGTAAGTTCTAGAAGGCATCTGTTTTTGTATTCCCAGTATCCCACTTTTCTTTAGGGGAACCATTCTGTTGTTCTGATCACCGGCTTGCAGTGGAGCTGATCCTGCAACCTGGCTCCAGGGGACCATGTGAGCTGGATGGTGGAAGGACGTCAGTCTAGGACTCCGATTGGGCCACCAAGGCACTTTCTTTCTGTTATGGTCTCTGTTAGAAGGACATAAACCTAGAGGGCTCCCAGGAGCCAGTACCCAGAGAGCGCCTGCATGAGAATGAATTCAACCCAGAGGAAAGCACAGCGGAGTGATGAAGAGACCAAGTCCTGATAATAACCTCTGTGCCCCTGGATCCAGCCATTCCTGAAGCCCAGATATGCCCCTGGACTTTACAGTCCCACAGGCAATACATACCTTTAAAAAAAATTAATCTAGTTTAAGTTAGATTTCTGTCACTTGAAACTGAAAACGTACTAACAAATACCCAAGAAATAAAAGCATAAGAAGGGGGGAAGCAAGAAGAGAAGATTACATTTATGAATATAGTATCTGCAAGCGGTTCAAGTTTGTCCCTGGAAATGAAGAAAGGTGACACGTGGGAATCTGTTCCATTTTTCATACTAAGCTCAGATCATCAGAACTGTAGCTCTGCTTAATTACTGTGATTAATCTCGCCAAATTCTAAATATAAAATGAGTGTGCATTTTCTGATGTTCGATGATACTGCAACAGTCATGAAGGAACGAGCCGTTACTGAATAAAGACATCTTTCAAGAGAAATCATTTTTTTCTGCCCAAATGCAGTCATGACTGGGTGGAGGAGGAAAGGTCACAGCGATACCCCAAGTCTTACCTGGCATGGCATGGACGAGGTCCCCACACAGAACAAAGAATTTGGGTTTGGGGTTCAGCCTGTTGACGGCCCGGACAGCTTGCTCAGTTAGACGCGTCTCCTGTCCCCACTCATCACCGCCACTGTCACACTCCCCAGTGGACCAGGCCTTCATCAGTCCAAACTGGGGGTCTGCCCCTTGGATGAAGTAGAACGGGCCTTTCCACTCCCTTTCTTTCTCTTTTAAAAAAAAAAAGAGAGAGAGAAAAGAAATATTACAAAATCTGTCAGGGATAGCATCCAGGTTACCGTGCGAGCGGATACAATATTTTTCTTAAATTAAGTAGGTCATTTTAATAAGCTGCTGTTCAAACATACCATTTTCCTGTCATAGTCTAGAGGATTTTGATTTATACTAATTATGCCTGGGACCTGGTGATTCCCCAAGGCCAGGAAAAACCATGTGGGCTGCAGCAGCCACGCAGCCAAGCTGTTTGTTTAAAAGCCTGACGGCCTAAATGGAGCGCACAGGCACAACCGCATGCTGTATGGAGGATATTAATGGCCAATAATAGTTTTTTAATTAGAATTAAAAATACCCAAAATTGAAAGCTGCCAGAAGTATTATATGTAAATCACTAAGTGAAATGCTTCCAAATCTTTGATGCCAGGCTTAATGGTACAATTTGCACTGTTTCGGGGATGTGACAGAATTTTAATTATAAAACTTGGAGCTTGGAAGCTCCGGCTATCTGGTGGGAAAAGCAGTGCCAAAAATGAAATCTTGAAACGAGTTAGTCAATGTGAAAAAAAAAATGGATGCTAACATTTCAAAGGCAGCACCATGTGGGCATAAGTGAGGTGTGAGGCTGGGGGCAGGGGGAAGAGGGGAACGGAGACGGGGTTCTTCAGGTGCTTAGAAAGGGCGCTAGGTCACATGCACCAAAATTATCAGGCTTGCCCTTTTTGTTGGTTCTGCGGGCCCGAAGCTTCGGGGACCACAGGTCTCTACCCTCATCACCAAAAGAACTGTAACCAGTGCCTGCTCCTGCAGAGCCGGAATGGCCACATGGGCACAGAAGTCCCACGCATTTCAAACTTTTTTTTTTTTTGGTCACAGAATCCTTTCTTCAAACAAAACCTTATGTGGCAGATCAATGTTGAAAACACGGAGCCTACTCTGCCCAACCGGGATCTGGGGACAAAGCAGTCTGAAGACCCCCAATCTACAGCCCCCACGTGTATCCTCTGAGGAAACTGAGGCCCAGAGAGGTGACATGACTTACCTAATGGCCCACCAGCCATCAGTGGCAGGGACAAAACTACCCCACCATCTTGAGACTATTTTCCTCTTTTTAAGAAATTAATGCATTTGCATGTTACCTAAATAAGTGGCACTTCCTTTGGAAGTCATGAAAATACTATAATTTCCAAAAAGCTCCTTGGAATCATATTGTGTCTACGTGTTTGGTTCATTCGTTTATTTGGTAGGTATTTACTGAGAGCCCACTGTTTGCCAGGCCCAGGCGAGCTGCTGACAACACGAGTGGACCAAGACAGGTGAGGTCCCTGCTCTCCCGGGGCTGAGCTCTCATGGGTAGACGCAAACAAGGAAATAAGCGGCGAACAGAGCCAGAGGGTGCTACGGGCCACGAGCCCGTTCTGGAACAATGGCTGATTTTAACTGGGCGCACAGGGACTCTCTCTGAGATGACGTCATTTAAGCTAAGATCTAACTGGCCAGAAGGAGCCAGTCGTAACCTTCTTCAATTCCATGGCCACCCTCCCACCCACCACACCTAGCTGACTATCAGCTTAGAGTGGACCTCTGGCTGTCGGCCTCCCTTCCTTCTTAATTCCTTTTTCAGAATTGAAAAAGACACACATGCAAACAAACTACCTATATATACTTGATAAAACAAACGGTACATGCATGTTAATCCACTCGTTCTTGATTGACAGCTCAGAACATTAGCCGCTCAGTCACATCACAACCAACCTGAACTCAATCACAACAAGGACTGCACGAAACCCTGCTGTGTGCATCTCATTGCTAAGAACAGCCATTCAGCACCACAACGGATTACGTGTGGCAGAGAAAGTTCAAGAGGCCCCAAAGATCCTGCATCGTGATACTCACCTTCTTGTGCAATCCCCTCCCCTGGAGTGTGGGCTGGATCTCCTGACTTACTTCTAACAAGCAGAATATAGTGACGGGATGTCCCTTCAGAGATGAGGCGGGACCAAGATACAGAAACAACCTAAAAGTCCATCGATGGATGGATGAATGGATGTAGAAAATGTGGTAGACACCTGCAGTGGAATATTATTCTGCCTTAAAAAAGAAGGAAATCCCACCACTGGCACAATATCGAGGGACCTGGAGGGCATCAAGCTAAATGGAATAAGCCAGTCACAGAAAGACAAATATTGTATGATGTCACTTATATGTGGAATCTAAAATAGCCAAACTCATAGAAGCAGAGTAGAATGGTGGCTGCCAGGGGCTGGAGGTGCTGGTCAAGGGTACAAGTTTCAGTTATGCAAGATAAAGAAGTTCTGGAGATCTACCATACAGCCTAACACCTATAGTTAGAATGCTGTTTTATACGCTTAAAGTTTGCTACGAGGGTAGATCTTATGTTAAGTGTTCTTACCATACACATGAAAAATAACAACATCAATAATAATAATAAAGGGGGCAGGAAGAAACTTTGGGGGGCAATGGATATGCTTATGGCCTTGACGGTAGTGATGTTTCACAGGTATATACTTATCCCCAAACTCAATGAGTTGTACACATTAAATAAATACAATTTTTACATGTCAATCACACCTCACTAAAGTGGTTAAAAAAAAAGAGAGAGATTAGGCTAGAAAAAGACCATGACTTTCATCTTGCTTGCTCTCACACTGTCTCGGAGCCCTGGCTCTGGAGGAGAAAGGCTGCCGTGTTGTGACTAGCCCTATGCAGAGGCCAACGTGGCAAGGAACTGAGGCAACAGCCTGTGGAGAACCGGGGCCCTCCATGCAACAACCCACAAGGAGCCGAATCCTGCTGGCCACCTCGTGAGTGACCTCGAAGAGGACCCTTCCTGGTTGAGCTTCCAAATGAGCCCACGGCCCTGGGTGACCCCTGACTGAACGCTGTGAGACCCTGCGGCAGAAGGTCCCAGCCACGCTGCACGCAAAGCCCTGGTAGAAGCTGTGAGATGAGGCTTGTTGTCTTCTTGTCTCAAGATGCCCAGTTTCAGGGTAATTTGTTCCACAGTAACAGACACTTATGGGTCAGGCACTAAAGATCAGGGTCAGGAAGGAGGCAGCAAGATTTCCTCAAGAGCTGAAGGCTGGTGTCTCGAAAAAAACTGAGGTTCTGATTTGCGTTGTCAAGTTGTTAGCATCATTTATTTATCTGAATAATAACCTTTTTACCCTGATGAATGCTTGTAGCTACGTCCCTGTTTCTGAGGCGGTTTGCAGAACCATTTAAACTGGATAAATTAATCAGAAGCCGATCAGGGAGGTGATCGTCACCCCAAGGTTAGAGCATAAATCAATCTTCCACAACAAACAGAATTATTAAACAGTTTTCTACGGCAAACGATTTAACAAATACAGTTTCCTATGACAAATAGTCATCGTCTTGAAAAGCCAATAGTCCTTGGAGGTATTAAAATAAATCTTTCATTATTATACGTGTACTTAGTAAAAACTTAGAATCTCCATTTTATAATGACAAGGTACAAAATAAATAGATTTGACCTAAAATGAATGACAGCTCACACATCAATATTCAATCTACTTTACCTATGTAATAAAGGCAATTTGTTGACTCAGGGCTCTGCATTCTCAAAAGCACCTGGATCCTCTTAAGGTTCCCACTACAGAAGCTTGTGGTCTTTGGTCTCGTCTTCATTTTAATCAAGGCTGAATTAAAGCTATTTGAGGCTTACAATGCTTGGTTCTGGAGAGAGGAATCTTTCGTAAACATATATGTCCCCCATCCCTCAACAGGGCAGGTTTTTACAGGAGGAAAGTGACTTCCTAACAATACTTGCATTAAATTATTTCATCCAAGTCCAGAGTGACCCCGAGGACAGGGTACAGGTGTTCATTACCTGACATCTACGAGACCTGGGAAAGCTTATGACGCCATCCCTTCCAGGGTGGAGCAAGTGTCTGCGCCCCAGGCATGGGCCAGCTTCTCTCTCTAGACTCCCCGAAAGCACTGTTCTGGCAGTTTGGCTACACTGAGGCTCATCCCCAAAGCACCCAGATACATAATCTGCATTAAAAAGGACACTTAAGAATCCAGTGGTTTTGTTTTTATTTTCCCAGTCAAAGAACTGCTTAGTTAAAGGGTCAATGCCTGATAAACCCAAACTGAGGAACAGAATTGCCTAGAAACGGAGGCTGAGGGAGAGGCAGAAGGCGAGGATGACGAGAGAGGAGCCAAGACGCAGGCTGCGAGAGGGCAGGGCTGGGCATACACCTCAGTCCTCAAGGTGTGGCCGGAGGACCAGCAGCAGCGTCACCTGAGAGCTTGCTGGAAAGGCAGAATCTCGAGCCCACTGCAGACACAGTGAGTCAGAATCTACATTGTAACGAAGCCTCAGGTGAACTGTATGCAAATCCAAATTTAAGAAGGGCCGGCCTGCAACTGATCAGAGAACTGCTTAAGCAAGTTTGCCAAGAAGCAGATGCAAAATGACTTTTCTTTCCCTAAATTGAAATAACGTCTTGGAGGATTTGCAGTTGTCGCTAGAGGTGGTGTTTTTTGCCCATTTTCCTATTCACTTTTAGGTCCCTGTCTGTGTCCAGCTCAAGTATTTGAGTCTGAACAGTCCCTGATCTTACCCACTATCTAACCATCACCCTTTAAATTGCCTTTCAAAACCAAGTCAAGGTTTTTGGTAACAATTCCAAGATTCAAGGTAAGAACTTGAACAAGGTATGAAGGAATTCATCACTAATTCGTGAGTTCTAACACTTTAGATTTTACCTGACTTTGCAGCTTACAAGGAAAGCACCCATTAGCAAGCATGTGTGCTTTCAAACACACAACAGAGAGGTCTGTTATTTTTCTTCCAAAATGGATGAAAGAATGCAGTTAGGGATTCTAATTGGTAACTCTGATAAGACAAAGGTCAAATTGAGATAAATTAAGCAGGTGTAGAATGAATGAATTAAAGAATAAGGTGAATTGATTAAATTAAGATCTCATTTCTGATCCAGATGGT